TTCGCGTTGATCTTGAAGTTAGCCTCTCTAAGCTTCTCCAAGACCTGCCTCAGATGACCCTGGTGCTCCTGGAGGGTCTTACTAAAGACTAGGATATCATCTAAGTAGACTACTACAAATTTATCTAACCATGGTCTAAACAAGTCATTCATACAACGCTGAAAAGTAGCTGGCGCGTTGGTCAGTCCAAAGGGCATCACTATAAACTCATAATGCCCATATCTAGTCCGGAATGCAGTCTTGTACTGATCATCAGGATGGACTTCTAACTGATGGTATCCGGACTTTAAGTCTATCTTAGAGAAATACTTACAACCCTGCACTCGATCTAAAAGATCGTCTATCCTGGGCAGCGGCTCCGCATTCTTCACTGTGATCGCGTTCAAACCCCTATAGTCTATACACATACGAAGCTCTCCTTCCTTCTTGGGGACAAACAAAACGGGTGCTCCAAAAGGAGACGAACTGGGCCTGATCCAACCTTTCTCAAGGAGTTCGTCTAACTGCTTGCGGAGCTCCTCTAACTCTCTAGGGGACATCATGTAGACTGCACCCTTAGGAGTTCTACTGCCAGGCTCTATCTCTATCCTGTGTTGGATGGGTCGCGACACTACTCCTGTCGGCGACTCAGTCAAGTCTTTGAATTCTTCCAGCAGCTTGGCAATTGTTGGATCTGTGGAACTATCCTTTTCCTGGGCCTCAGTGATAGGTCTAACGTAAACTACAAAGACCTCGTCTTCTAACTGCTCCTTTTTTACTATTCGCGCGAACGCGGGAGCACTGAGACAGCAATGTGCCAAGGTGTTGTCTACACCCGACACATGGAATAAGCGGGCAGGCTTAACTTCGCCTGCCGGGCTAGGAAGTCTACACTCATGCTCTCTCAAATGAAGTGTGGCCCCTACTGCCTCTCCCCAATCCATTCCCAACACTATATCAAAAGGGAGGTCATCTTGCACGAGGAGAGTCAAAGAATGGAGGACCTTCTCCACTTTTCCATTCTTCTCTAGGCGAAAGTACGCCTGGACTCCCTCTACGCAGTCCTCAACGCGCATCGTGCGGTTGTCTGCGAGGACACTGACTATGGGGTCTACTAGTTTCTGGACCTTTAGTCCTAGCCTCAACTTTTTGAGCGCCCTACGGCTAATGTAACTACGGGTAGCCCCTGAGTCTATAAGGGCCCCTACTCTACTTCTAAACACCTCTACATCTACCAAAATCAGCTGTCCCTTACTCTCCCTTTTCATTTTGGCCCAGGTTGGCATTCTCTCTTTTAACTCTTCTGCCACACCTGTGAGGGACGTGCCTAAGGAGACGCTAACACAAGCAGTCTCTGGACAACTATTTAGGCACGGGCCTGCAACCTCTGCCATAGGCTCGTGTGGGTTGGGAGTGTCCTGTTCGCGCGCGCTCACTTCTCCACATGGCCTGGAAGTAGGGGCAGTTGCGACCCCTACTGGCGGCTGCCTTTTGACTGTTGAGCAGCCCAACGGGCCTGTCTATACTTTGGACAAAATTTGATAACGTGGGTCGGGTCACCACAGAATACGCACTGACCCCGGTCCACGCGTTCCTGCCATACGCGCTGGTCCAGGCCCAAATCTTCCCAGGGCCTGCCCTGTGGCAAGCCTGGGTGCCAACCCCCTTGAGGTGCCCTTCCACCTCCTCGCTGTGGGTACCGGTTACCCTGGCGATTTAACGGGGGACCTTGACCCCTACCTCCCGCTTGGCGGTTTCCCTGTCCGCCAACCCCCTGTGCACCCGGTCCTCGGCCTCCCATGGCCTGGCCCCTTTGGCCGTGGCCTCCTCCTCTACCTTGCGGCCTCCCTCCGACCGTGACAGCAGCGTAAGACCTCCCCTGCCCTACAGTACTGTACTCCTCCCCTAGGCCCCACTCAATCTGATCATATGGGACCTCTTCTGTACCACCCTCCTCTAATGTCAGGATCAAGTGATCCTTGGCCTTGACTTGGCCCGAGATGGTACGATCTTTCCACTTCTTCCCCTTCTCCAGGTCCTTATGCCAGAAAGTGGTAACTGACATAGACTTCGACTCATACAGGACGACTTCTCTACTCAATGCATCGTAAGTCATGCCGGCCTGCTGAAATTTGTCAAAGAAATGCCCGCGTAGGGCCTTTGGAATGGCGCGATAAAACAATTGGACCAACTGGGGCTCAGTGACCCCGTGGTCCGGGACGGCTACCAAGTCGTCCATGGTACCCTTGAGTGCCTTGGCACTCCTCCACTACCGGGAGTGGATCGTTTGGAGCTTATCGGAGGCTCTAATGCCTCGCGTTGGGTCAGCGAACCTCTCCTTGAGGAGCTTGAGGAATTGGGAAAGAGGAGTGACTTTGGAATATGGAACCCGGTTGTTTTCACAACCGGCTGTACGCCCGAGAGACCTGGCGAAACTAGCCGCGTCATCTTTGAGGGTCTGAAAGGCCACGAGGACTTGTTCCTCCATTAGGATATGCTGCAAGTAAATATAACTATTGACACAGGCTTCCCAGTTGTCAAAGTTTTCTTCCTTCTTTCCCCCGTAGGCATCCGGAAACTTAAGCTTCACTGGGTCCTTACGGGGTCTGGCCTCTCCCTCAGCGGCTACAACTTTGGCACCCTGAATGGCGCCCTCACAAAACTTCCCTACATTATCTCTCAATTGCTTCACTTCGCCCCCAATATGGGTGACGATCTCGCGCGCAAAGTCTCTAAACCCTTACCGCATGGCACTCAAGGCTACATCTTGGCTCCAGCTGGCCTGGCGCTCTTCCATCCAGGCCTTGCTCAACACCTCCAGGTATCCCAGTACTTTGTCCCACTTGGCCTTATCGTCTGGCTGGGCCAGCACCTCCGCTCTACACTCCTGCACCTTTGCCTCTGCTGCGGTCATCTTATTCACCTCCTCTCTCCTCCTCTTCTTCTCCCTCTTCATTCTCAACTTCCATGCTAAGTTTTGCTCGTCTTCCCTCTCTCTCCGTTCCATCGGGTCTGTCATGGCTGCTAGCTCAGCGGCCAGCGCAGCCTTCTCATCCTTAGTCACATAGGACTCCGCCTCCTCGTCTTCCCCCAATGATAAATTAGCGACCCACTCGTTGATCTTCTTCTCCAGCTCAGTATCTGTCTCCCACTTCATCGTGCCACCACTGCTCCCTTCTCCACTCTCAATTCTCATTCTCTCTTTCTCTTCTTCTGCTGCCGCTTCTGCTTCAGCAGCCTTCCTTCTTTCTTCCTCCTCCTGTTGTACCCTCTTCATCTCCTCCTCCAACCTCTTCATCTTCGCCGCCTGCTCATCGGCGATAGCCTTTAGCTCGCGCTCTTTTCTCTCCTTGTTCTCTTTGACTAAGGCGGCCATCTTTTCTTGCTGCTCCTTGCTATAGGGGTAGGTCTCTAGCCCTGTACGGGTCTCCACCATGGTGATAGGTGCACAATCAGGATGATTCCACTCTGGGACTGACTGGACCTTCCGCTGACTGACTGTGGACTTACCGCTATCCTACCGACGTTGTACTGCTGTTGCACTGCGGTTTAGTCCACCACTTGCCTCTCCACTTGACCACTTGCCCACTTGCCTACCTTCTAGAAGGTCTACAGCTAAGCTTCCAGAACTCACTAAGACTCCTACGCTATAGACCTACAGATCGAACCCCTGCTGCCTATGGACCTACGACAGGCCTACCAACTGCCTACGAATACACAGGTC